GGAAGGAGGGGGAAGGAAAGGGAAGGAGGGGGAAGGAAAGGGAAGGAGGGGGAAGGAGGGGGAAGGAGGGGGAAGGAAGCGGAAGGAGGGGGAGGAGGGACTGGAGTCTGCCAGTGTCCTGGTGGGAGCAGGCCTGCCTTTGATGCTCACACTTGCAGACCCCTGGGGAGGGCCTGAGTCATCGCTGAGCCGGCAAACATATTTAGCTCCTTTCATGTCCCTAATAAATCAATTTCTCCAGGTCTTTCACACCTGCCAGTCGATGAGGGCTTCCTGCCTCCCATCTCCTGTCCCCTGGCAGCTGTGTGTGCCAGGCCTCAAGTTGGAGGGGCTTCTCTTCCCCAGGTACCTGGCAGGGGCCCACCCTGCCTTCTCCAAGCCCCGCTGCCTTGGCCTATTCCAACCCAGAGCCTCTGTGCCAAGCTTGTCCTCCCTCAGGCTGGGAAGGCTCCATTCAGCGTCCACATTGACGGAGGTCCCATTCAGAGCTTCATGCGGCCAGAGCGGCGGCCTCAGAGCTGCAAGGATGCCTGCACTGTGCACGCAGCCCCGCCCCAGCCAGCACCCAGCCTCCCTCAGCCTTGCATTCTTCTGGCCCACTGGGGCTTGTGTTTGGGGCCCAAGGGAGTTTCAGAAACACCTTGCCTTGACCTGTCTTCTTACCCTGCCTCCTACTGGCCCTACTGACTGGAAGGCTCAGGCCTCCTCTTCGTTTATATTTCCTGAGCACCTCTTCCAAGAAGTCTTCCCAGCTCTCCCTGGCTGCCCCATTGCCCACCTGACTCTTTCCTCTGCTAGTGGCACCAACCTGATTTGTAGCTCCATGACTGCAGGCTGCAGTCTCCCTTCTGATCAGAATACTAGCACTTAACTGCCCAGGAGCTGTGCAGTGCTGCTGTTATAAGCATTTCACACACACACACACACACTCTCTCTCACACACATTCACACACATACACATTCACACATGTTCACACATTCACTCACACACATTTCCACACAATTACACACATACACATACACACACATTCACACACACATTCACACACACACAAACACACACATTTGAGCCAGTCTGGCTCTGTCACCCAGGCTGGAGTGCAGTGGCACGATCTCGGCTCACTGCAACCTCTGCCTCCCGGATTCAAGTGATCCTCCTGCCTCAGCCTCCTGAGTAGCTGGGACTACAGGCATATGCTACTGTGTCCGGCTAATTCTTTTTGTATTTTTAGTAGAGACGGGGTTTCACCATTTTGGCCAGGCTCGTCTCGAACTCCTGACCTCGTGATCCACCCGCCTTGATTTCCCCAGGTGCTGGGATTACAGGTGTGAGCCACTGCGCCCGGCACATTTTACATATATTTGATTATTTCCATTTTATAGATTAGAAACATGAGGCCCAGAGAGCTTAGGAAAGCTGCGTAAGCCACAGGGGAGAGGTGAGCTTCACTGCAGCCGTCTGGGTGGCCCTTGCCGCTGTCCCTCCCCACCCCCGTGCCCTCTCACAGTAATGGCGTTTGTGGCAGCTGCTCATCTTCCTCCCCCGCCTCCCTCCTGGGGCAGGAGCTGTGCTGTCCGTGTGCCTGAGACCCTTGAGGCCCCCCTTGCTCCGGAAGTCCCCTTAAGGTTTCCATCATGGAACTCACCTGGCCCAACCCCTCAGGGAGGAAAGTCCCATCCAGAGAGGGTAAGCAACTCGTTTGGGCCCTACAGCCAGAAAGCAAGAGTGTGCGAGTCTCCCAGCGCCAGGCCCGATGCCAGCCTCAGCAGGGGTGACTGTGCCCAGCACCCGTGGCGGGAAGGCCCGTGCTTGTTTGTGTCTATGGGTGTCCCCTGGGCTCCTCCAGCCCTCAGGCCGTGGTCGACCAGGTGCCTCTCCCTTTAGGAGGTCCAAGCCAGGACTCTACTCTGGACAGAGAGCCTGTCCCTGCAAGGGAGAGCCGGTCAGCCCTGGGCCCCGGCTGGCTGCAGCGTTGAAACCTCTTATCCACGTGTGATGGGAGCCCCCTGCTGTCCAGAGCGAGGAGCTGCAGAATGGCAGGAAGGCGAGCAGAGATGCCCTGGGAAGGCTGAGGGGGGTCAGTGAGTCAGAGCCCAAAGCCCCAAGCTCCTGGCTTGTGACATGGCCGCTCCAGGTATCCTGCCTCCTCTGGAGGCATCAACATTCTCATAGTTCTTGAGGCCTCCGGACATTTGCACCTGCGGATGCTGAGGGCCCTTTATCAGTTAACTTCAGGTGAACCAGCAGTTATTATGCACCAACTGTGTGCTGGGCACTGAGCAGGTGTACAGTCTGGCCCACAAGGAGCTCACGGTCTGGTGCGGGGCAGACATGACGTGAGCTCACTGCATCAGCAGGTGTGTGTCCTGTGTCTGGCCTGGCCGCCAACGCGCAAGCACCCTCCTCACGGAAGCCTCCCCTCTGCCCAGCCCAGCCCTCCACTGCCCGCTCTGCCACCTCTGGAACAGCATGTGTTCAGGGCTGCAGGAATGTGGGCCCCGTGCAGGCAGGGACTGCCTTGTTGTACGAGTGCCTGGGGCAGTGCCTGGAACATCGCTGGTGCTCAATAAATGTTTGTGGGTTATCAGATTCAAGCTCCTCCATCACCCGCCACATGCTCCTTGGAGCAGCAGTGCCTGCACTCCAGCAACAAGCGACTTCCTCCTCACCTCCCACGGCGGCTTTTTTCTGCCCTTTCCCCCTTCCCTTCCTCTCTCCCTCCTTTCTTTTTTTTTCTTTTTCTTTCTCTCTTTCTCTTTCTCTCTCTCTCTTTCGTCTCACTCTGTTGCCCAGGCTGGAGTGCAGGATCTCGGCTCACTGCAGTCTCTGCCTCCTGCCCAGCCAGTAGCTGGGATTACAGGCGTGCGCCACCATGCCTAGCTAAGTTTTGGTGTTTTTAGTAGAGACGGATCTCCCCAGGTCGGCCAGCCTGATATGAAACTCCTGACTCCGGAGTCAGCCCACCTTAGCCTCCCAAAGTGCGGGATTACAGGCGGGGGCCATTGTGCCTGGCTCTTTTTTATCTTTGGAGACAGAGTCTCGCTCTGTCACCCAGGCTGGAGTGCAGTGGCGCCATCTCGGCTCACTGGAACCTCCGCCTCCCAGGTTCAAGCAATTCTCCTGCCTCAGCCTCCAGAGTAGTGGGGATTACAGGTGCCCAACACCACACCAGCTAATTTTTGTATTTTTAGTAAAGACGGTTTCACCATGTTGGCCAGGCTGGTCTTGAACTCCTGACCTCAACTAATCCACCTGCCTCAGCCTCTCAAAGTGCTGGGATCACAGGTGTGAGCCACTGTGCCTGGCCGGCAGCGGCTCTTTCTATCTTTAGGCAGCACTGCCTGCTGGAAAGTTCTTTTCCTTTCCCTGGGTTTGCCAGAGCCAACTCGCCTGCCTCAGCTCTGCAGAAGCCCCACTGGCTGTCCAGCCTCTGGGGATGGCTCTTGTGCAACGTGGCAGCCAGCATCCCAGGGATGGGGTACCGGGGCCTTCTGAGTGACCAGCTTCCCTGCCTGGCCCTCCTGCCCTCCGAGGGGACAGGGACAGAGGTGGAAGGCCCAGGCGGGGTCAAGGTGGCAGCCGCAGTCACAGAGAGGACAGAGCCCACTCATGAGTTGGATCATGAGTTTTATTCTCTTTTCGGAGTGACTCCTAGAACCACCACTTATGCCCAGAAAATCCATCCCCTCCATGCTGGAGGAAGCTGAGGACCAGCGAGGAGACTGGAGCAGACTAAGGGAGTAGCTGGTGTGTACAGGGGCAGGACAGAGTCTCTGACCCCTGACCCTAGCCCAGCGCTCCTTCCACCAGCCCAGCTGCTCTTTCATGAGCCAATGAGGTGACAGAGGCGGGGCTTAGTTCATAGGCTGACAAGGATCTGTGGATGTCCTCAACTGTCCTGCAAAGTCTCGTCCCGTAGATGCCCAACCCAGACCTTGTCTGGTACAATGTCACTACCGGGTGCTTGCACACCTCCGGAGACAGGAGTCTCACCACCTCACGAGGCTGCTACTCCATCCTGAGCCTGAGGAAGGTGTGCACATTTGGGGGTGGGTGGGGACGGGGCGGGGTGCCTGGTGAGCTGCGGTTCCTCCGGGGAATCCACCTGCTTCCTCGCTGACTCAGGCTGGCAGTGGGGCAGCCACATTTCCTGCTCCCCTGTCAAGGAATTTCCCTCCAGGGGCTCCCCCAGGCCTGTGTGAAGGGGCGAGAAGTGCTTCCTGTTAGCGGACTCCTCCTCTGGGCCAGGGCTCCCTGGAGACAGAGCTGGCTGCCTGGGTACTGGGAGTCGGCTCTACTCTGATGATACTGCTGCAGAGGGTCCCGAGATGCTGGGACCTGCAGGCTGCCCCTCATCACCATGGGGCTGTTGGTCAGCTGTCTCGCAGGGAAGCCCTGGCCAAGACTCTGCCTCTCCAAGCATGGGCTCTGTGTTACTTGCTGGCTCAGCCACTGCCTCCAGGCAGCCCTCCTGGTAACCACAGTGTGCAAGACTCTCTCTTCTTGGCTTCTTGGATGGAGCACCCATCTTGCTTGAATCCCATCTGTCCGGGATGCTCTCCATCATTTTCTTGAGGGTCCCTCCTGCTCCTCTCCCCAAAATGGACATCCTGGAAGGTGGAGTCCACAGTGCTCTTCTATCGCCCTCAACCTTGAATCCAGAGTCTGCCTGGCTCTGTAAACAAGCGCTGCCATCTCCAGCCGGAAGCTGGGCACAGGGCTGGCAGGGCCCGAGACGTTTCCAGTCCCAACACTGCAGTTTTGCAAGAACTAGAGAGTGGGCATGACTTGGCAGAGGGCACACAGCGAGTCAGAGACGGAGCTGGGACTGAGCCCACGGAGTCTGGGCTCCTAGGGCAGGTCCTAGGGTTCTGTCCCCGGTCCTATCTGTGGGTCTGAGCCGTGTGCGCTGAGCTCTGCTCAGGCAGGGAGGGTCAAGCCCAACCTGAGGACAGAGGAGGGGCTGGCAGAGAGAACTTGAGCCGAAGGAAGAGCCTTGCCAAGGAGAAGCAGCACGCAGGGACCCCACAGCCCCTCCTGCTTTGAGGGCTGACAGCATCTCAAAGCGCAAAGTGCTCCTTCAGAGCTGAGAGCACTGGGGCCCAGAGAGAAGAAGGGATGCTGCGCTCTGGGCCAGTTTCCTCTGGCTGCCCTCCTCACCCCTTCCTGTAGTGCACATAGGGCAGGGGCCTGCAGCTGGGTGCCCAGGCCAGGGGACCTCATTGCTGGACTCTGAGCCCACTGTACCCACCACCCACCCTCCTGACCTCTGCTTTCCCATCAAGAGTCAGCTCGAGGTAACGGGGGGCGGGGGGCGCAGTGATGTCTGTGGCCCAAAAGGGTGCATGGGGTGGGGGGTGGGGCCCCGGGATGACCGCCCCAGGGCTGCCTCCAGGAATCTCACTGCTGGCTGGCGATCTTCTTCTTCCGAGTGGAGACCAGGTCATAGAAGGGGACGCGGGTAATGCTGGCTCTAGAGAGAGAGTGAGAGGAGAGATTTCAGGGCCGAACTGGCCGTCAAGGGAGTCTGGTCTTCCAGGGCTCCTATGAGAGGCAGGAGACTCCCAGGGCTGTGTCAGCCTGCTCTGCAGCAGCGGAAAGGCCAGATGGCCCCAACAGGCCAGGTGCGGTGGCTCACGTCTGTAATCCCAGCATTTTGGGATTACAGGCGTGAGTCACTGCACCCATGCGGGCAGATCACAAGGTCAGGAGTTCAAGACCAGCCTGGCCAATGTGGTGAAACCCTGCCTCTATTAAAAATCCAAAAAATTAGCCTGGTGTGGTGGCAGGTACCTGTACTCCCAGCAACTCGGGAGGCTGAGGCAGGAGAATTGCTTCAACCTGGGAGGCGGAGGCTGCAGTGAGCTGAGACCGAGCCACTCACCCCAGCCTGGTGACACAGTGAGACTGCAACTCAAAAACAAACAGATGGCCCCAGCCAGGGCTGTGCCAGGGTCAGTCCAGCCTTGCTAGCTTAGCCCAGTGTCCCATGGGCAGGGCCAGAGAGGGTGAGGGCTCCGGTCAGGAGCTGAGAGCCCTGGGAATTCTGCGCCCAAATGTCTCTGGACCCCTCTCCAGGCTCCTGCTGGAGACCTTCGGAAGGTGATGGGAAAAGCTTGCGGAGAAGCCAGCAGACCTGCCTGTTGGACTCTGCTCTGTCCCTTGCTCTGTGGCCCTGGGCAGGTCCCTCCCCTCTCTGGGCCTCAGTTTCCTCATCTGTAAGACGGAGGTGAGAACAGTGCTGCCTGGCAGCCTCACAGGCTGCTCCGCTGCAAGGCCCCGGTGAAGAGACCTTGCAAGTCTCTGCCCAGCAACCCGCCCTGCCTTCCTCTGCCACCAGACCTCTCCTCGCCAATGTCTTCGGCTGGCTCAGAGTCAAGCCCTGAGCAGGTTCGCCATCTCGCCCTTTACCAGGTGCGTCTTCCTTGTGTCTCTCCTGTCAGTGGCACCACAGAACCAGACCCTACATTTTGGCCTTCCTCACCTAGCCACCCTCGCTATTTATCAGTCTGTGGCTCCCCAGTGCCCCAGGAGAAACGGAAGCTCTTCACCACAGTGGCTGTGGCCTTGCCATGCTCAGCAGTTCTGGCTCCCACACTGCCCAGCCTCACCTGGACTCTGGGATGCGGTGCAGGTGGGCGTCTGCTGATTGCCCACACCGGTCCTTTTACCTGGAAGTTTAGCTTGAAAGCCCTTTCCTCCACCCCTACCAGGTCCTTCCCAGGCTACTTCCGACCCTGATGCCAACAAGAGCAGTTCCCAGGCAAGGGCGGGGCAAGAGCTTTATGCACAACTCTGTGCTCTATTCTCCCACCAACCCCCGCCACTGGGCCTCTCCCTTCCCTGTGTCCTGGGGCCTGGCCTGGTGCGCACACAGGAGGTGCCTATGGAATACAGGTGGAAGGGATTAGCAGGCCAGAGACAGGAGGGAGAGGCTGGAGTTAGCCCCCTTTACGCACAAGGAAGCAAAACCTCAAAGCAGCAGGGCCTTCTGGAAGGCGACGGGCAGCCGTCCCCGGAGGTGGACACCCCTTACCGGATGGCCTCAATCCACTGGTCGCGCTCCTCGGCACTGGCGGCTGAGATGCGGTAGGACTCGTGTTTGCCTTCCACCACCCTGCCGTCGCCGTCAGTCTTGCAGGCCTTGATTTTCTGGCCTCGGCAGCTGGGGTTGTAGAGCTCAAGGCAGAACTGGGGAGGTGGCCAGGCGGGGTGGGGTGAGAGGGAGGCTGGGGGGGCTCTCCAGGAGGCTCAGAGAAGCCCAGACGCTGGTGTCCCTGCCCCGCGTGGCAGCCCCACCCCATGACAGGCGAAGGGGCAGGAACTGCTCCCCCCACACTGTGCACTCTCTCTGTGCCAGGCTCCTTAATCCACCATCCTCCCTGAAGTCCCCATGTGAGGTTCTGAACAGAGCAGGGCTTCCTCAGGGTCATCCAGCCAGTCGGGGTCTATGGGACAACTGAGGACAACCACGCCCTTGGACCGACATTGACCTTTTCCCACTGTCCATGGCTCCAGGAGGGAGAGAAGGGCAGCCCTGAGCTCCATGGAAGGTGGGAGGGGCACAACCTCAGGCCCTCTCCCCACACCCAGTTTAGGAAATTCTCCAGTGGCTTTAGCCTTGGGGACCCCCCACCTGGACACCTACTGGCTTCTTGGGGTCGTCCACCTTCTGCACGGAGAGGTTCTCAAGGGGTATGATTCCCCGTGGCTCCTTGTCCTACAGGGAGAGGGGAAGGAAGGTCAGAGTCAGGGTCAGGAAGCAGACCTTGAGGCCCAAGTCTGGGCGTAAACGTGTGGGGTTCCCCAAACCCAAAGAAGAGCATGCTCATCTTCCAAGACTGTCCAGCCAGGGGGGTGGAAGGTAGGAGCGGCATGTGAAGAGCTCTGGCCAGAAGTTAGGAGGCTCAGCTTTGAGCCTGGGCTCTGCCTACAACCTTGGCCCGGCCTCTCCCCTTTGTACCTCAGTTTTTCCCATCTGTAAAATGGGCATGGATGGGAACCGAATGATCTCAAACGATCCAAAGCTGTGTTATTCGTCTGCTCAGTGGGAGTTGGGAAGGGGGTTGTGCGGGGAGAGGCGGGGGCGGGCAAGGCCCAGGGGACCCTGCTCACTGTGGTGAACTCGAAGTAGTAGAGGCAGTTGTCGGTCAGGATGAACCAGCGCCGTTTCCACGTCTTCACGCGGCCCCCTGTGGGAGGCCAGTGCAGCAAGCAGATCAGTCCTCCTGGGCCAGGGACACAGAGGCTCTCCCCTGGACCCCCAGCTGAGTGCCCTGACCCTCATCCGCCACCCCTCCCCCACCACCCCTCCCCCCACATCTATCCGTTTCTCAAACAAGAACCCTAGTGGCTCCCGTCACCCCCGGGGCTTCCCTGGAGCTGCTTGAGCTGGTGCTCAGGTCACCTCTGCGATCAGGTCCTAGGTATGGTCCTAGGAATGGCCACCCCCTGCTCTCTCTGGTTATCATCACCGATTGCTTCATTCCTTAGCCTGCTCCCTGCCTGGCACTGTGCTGAGCAATTCATCCTTCACTTGCCAGACACTGTGCTAGAGGTTTTCAAAAATATTATTCATCTTCATAACCACATATGAGGAGGGGACCATCGTGAACCCCATTTTACAGATGGGGAAACTGAGTCATGGAGAGGTTAAAATCCTCTGCCCGTGGTCCAGCAGCAGAGCTGGGATTCGAACCCCGGTGTCCTAGTTCTGGAGCCCAACTCTTGGCCATTTTGCTGCACATTTAACCCTCCCAGGGATCATTATCCCCATCTTATGCTACAGAGGCTGAAAACCTGACCATCGGCACTTGGGTGGAGGAGCTGGGGTTTAAGGGCTGTGTGACTCTGAGGCCCCCTCTCCCATCCAAGTTGGGATTTGTGACTTAGAGCTTCTCAGGGGTGGACAACGGTACGTGGCTGGGGCAGGACAGGAGGCTGAGCCTCTGGAGGAGGATGGACTGGGGTGTGGTGTGGAGAGTCGGAGGGCTTGGGGGCTCCAGGGGCATTGGGCAGGACTGGCACGGGCTGGGTGGACAGGAGGTGCTGGAGCTCAGTGTTGCTGGAGGCGAGCCAGGCTGAGACCCCTGCTTCAAGATGAGGCATCTGTCCCCGCTGGCCCCGCCTGGGCTGTCCCTGCTGGAGAGGCTTCCGGGAGTGTGTGTGGGAGGCAGGGGCAGATGGCTGGGCACTGGGGTTCCTCGGCGGCTGGACTGCAGCCACCCACCCCAGCTGCTCCCTGCAGGGTGCAGGCCCTCCCTGCCTCCAGTCAGCTTGAAGGCAGCTTCCCCTAAACCACTTCCTGTCACCCTTCCTCCCCTCCTTTAGGGACACCTAACCCTCTGCTCCGTCAAATCTGCCCCTGGCTGGCTGTGTGGCCTCAGGCAGATCCCTGACTTCACTGTTGGGCTGTGGGCGGGACAGCACCTTGCCTGAGCTCAGTGGGCTCGGAACCAATGGTAATCCTCATAACCACATATGAAGAGGGGCCACTGTGAACCCCATTTCTCCCCATTCCTCTGAGGAGAGAGAAACAGAACCACCGCTGAAGCGTTTGTCAATGAATCTGTCTGCCTCCCGCCCCGCTTACAGCTCAGCCCCCTCCTCTGGCCCCTTCATTCTCAGGACACACGGATGGATGGGGGAGGCAGACACTGCCCCGGGGGCAGGAGACCTGGGGCTGTCCATCTCCCTCTCCCAGGCTGCATGCGAGCCTCGTGTCAGCCCTGTGCCTGTGCGCGCATGAGGCGATGTATGCCCGCGTGTGCGTGAGTGTGCATATGACGTGTGCCCGCGCGTGCGTGAGTGTGCATATGACGTGTGTCCGCGTGTGCGTGAGTGTGCATATGTGTGCCCGCGTGTGCGTGAGTGTGCATATGACGTGTGCCCGCGCATGCGTGAGTGTACATGTGACGACGTGCGTCTGTCGGCCTCTTACCCAGCTTGAGCAGCCAGCCCTCCCGGTCTGGGTTGAAGAAGGTGTGAGTGAGGTCATTGCCGTCGTCCTCAGGAATGGAGAAGGGCTCGCTCTTGATGCTGTCGAAGAGGTTCTGCCCCAAGAGAAGGGAGGGAAAGACCTGGCTGTGAGTCCACCCGCGTCCAAGGCCTGGGCCTGGCCTGGCCTGTGTGGCCTTGAGCAGGTCGCTCACTGGCAGGTGCACTCTTTCCTCACCTGTTAGCTTCTCATGGTCCCTGGTTCCCTCCCTTGAGCCTGGGCCTGGCTCTGCCACCCACCACCCCTGTCCTGCTTCCCTCTGTGCTACTGTAGGGCAGAGGGAGCAGGGGTCAGCCCCTCACACACACACATATACCAACATGCATGCTCACACACACACATGCACACATTCACACATACATGCACACTTATATACCTGCACGCTAACACACATGCATGCACTCACATGTGTACATACTTACACACATACTCACACATGCATGCACACTTATACACATGCACACCTATACATGCACTCATACATGCACATGCATGCATGCTCACACCTACACACATGCATGTGCAAACATGTACACATGCATGCACTCACGCATATATGCACATACATGTTCACACATGAACACAGGCACACATATACATGCACTAACACATACATGCACACATGCATGCTCACACCTATAGTCACACACATGCATGCTTACACATATATACTTACACATGCACGCACACTCACATATATGCACACATACATGGTCACACACATGCTTGTGCACACACATGCACACTCACACACATGCACACTTATATACATGCGGGATCACATACACATGTACACACATGCCTTCATGCTCACACAAATACGTGCACTTATACATGCACCCTCACACATGCATGCTTACACACATACATGCACTCATACGTAATGCAAATACAATATACATGCATATGTTTATATGCATGCTCACACACACATGCATGCTTACAGACACAGACACACAAATACACACATATTCTCTGTCTCTGGGACATAGCACCCTTGGCAAAGGTTATGGGAGGAGGGTCCTCTCCTGCTTAGGTGCAGCAGCAGAGACTACAAGGTACACCTTGGGCTGAGGGGCCCCAGGGAGGAGGACTGGCCACTTCGTGTTGAGGGGCCCAGCTGAGGGAGAGCCCAGGGTGGGACACTGGCTGCGACTCTCAAAAGCCCCTCTCCTAAACAGGCCTGTTCTGGATGGGTCGGGGTGGGGCCTGGGGAGCTCCCAGAAAGCAGACTGCAGTTCTCCACGGAAGCCTTTCTGGCAGTAAGAGCTGGTGAAATGTGGGAGAGCAGCTTTGTAGGGTGATGAGCTCTTTGTCCCTGGAGGTAAGTAAGCCAGGTCTGGAAGTTCCCTGTGGGCAAGGTGTGGCCACTGGCGCCAGATCACCCCTGTGTGCTTTGAATCTCCTGCCATGAGACATTGTGTTCTGTGAGCTACCTGCCGAGATTTCCAAGTGTTTGGAGAACCATTCTAAACTGTGTATATTTCTGCTTACTAAAGGCAAACGCAGTGCTGTCTCCGCAGACGAAATCATTTCCTTTCGCTGTGTATGTGTGTGCTGCTTGCTGCTCAGATGTGTTTCTGCTCAGATGCTTTCTTCGAGATTTTAAATGAAAATTCTCATGAGTTTGATTCTCTCAAAGTTTTAGAAATGGGGCTGTCTGGTTCTTTAAGATCCTTTCTGACCTCAAGAACTCAGGGGTCCAGAGTCAGGGGTGGATGGCTTCCCTGGTCTCAGTCTGGCTGTGGGGCTGTGGGGGTGAGGAAGAGCGGGCCCCGGTTTCTCTCTGGGGAGCCCCTACACGCATCCCTGGGAATTCCCAGTTGGCACTGGCTGGTTGAACAAGGGTCTGGAGCAGGAAGGCCCCATCAACAAAGCTGTCAGCACAGACAAATATTTGGAAGGCCCCAGGAGCTGTGCAGGGGGAGTGGACAGGGGGTCTCAACTGCCACAAAACCCACGGAGGAGCGGTGGGGGGAGGACCCAGCAGCTTCTGCGGTCACTGTATCAGCCTGTACCTTCTGCCCCCGCAAAGAAAACGGCTGAGTTCACCCACATTTCCTGTCCCCTGTAAACACCAGCCTCCCCTGCAAGAAAACGCCCTGCACCACTGCCGCCAAACCCGGGACCCAGCTGTCTTCTCCTCGTGGGGTGGATGGGCAGAAATGCAAGGGCCTCCTCCTTCCAGTGGCCCCGCTGGCTCTGTGTCCCTCCGTCCCCACACCCTCAGTTTTTCTCTGGGGAGTCTGCTCCTCTGTGTTCTGTCCAGATCACTCAGCAGGGTTGGCACCCACAGGTCCCCAGCCCCAGGCTCCAGGAAGGGGTGAATGACTCACATCTGGCTGATCAGCGCATTTCATCTTGCTAACCGCAGTGCAGGGAGGGCCAGGAGGCCCAAGTCAGCCAATAAGCCTTAATCCTGGGACTTCAGCTGAAACTGCTGAGGAGGCACTGTGAGAGCTCGGGAAGCCAGGGCATCTCTGCCATACCTGGGCAGAGCTTGTTTAGGAGAGAAACCAGGCCGGGCATGGTGGCTCATGCTTGTAATCCCAGCACTTTGGAAGGCTGAGGCTAGCAGATCACCTGAGGTTGGGAATTGGAGATCAGCCTGACCAACATGCAGAAACCCCCGTCTACTAAAAATACACACACAAAATTAGCCGGGCGTGGTGGTGGATGCCTGTAATCTCAGCTACACAAGGGGCTGAGGCAGGACAATCGCTTGAACCCAGGAGGCAGAGGTTGCAGTGAGCAGAGATCGTGCCGCTGCACATTCCAGCCTGGGCAACAGAACAAGACCCTGCTTCAAAAAAAGAAAAAAAAGAGAAGAGAAAAGCAAAGGTATAAAGCCAGCGTCATCAGCCCACTTTGCAGAGGAGGAAGCCGGGGCTCATGTCCAAGGTCACACAGATATAAGGGCAGAGCTGGGGTCTGACGTCCCATCCCTGTGAGTCGGAACACTGCACCTTCGCCCTGAGCCTCTTGTGGACTCTGCCCCTGACCCATCTGGACGCCTAGAGCAAGATCGGCTCAACCCTCCTGTCCCTGACTACCACCGAGTACCTCCCCACAGCCTTTCCCAGCCGGACATCTTCGAGGTCTGTGTACCCTTGGGGTGACCTCTCTTTGGGTCATATGTCTGTAAATGTCATTTTGAAAATTGGGCCACTTAAAAGCATTACATGTCCTCCTCACTTAACGGGTCCAAATTGGAGAATCTTTCTGCCAAGTGGTGACCTTTGACAATCGGAAGGTGCTTAAAGCTGAATCCCTGCTTTACATACGAGGAAAATGAGGCCCAGGCAGGAGGCGAGAGGATCCCCAAATCCACACGCTGCCTGTGTGTTTCTTTGTTCTTTTTGAGATGGAGTCTTGATCTATCGCCAGGCTGGAGTGCAGTGGCGCGATCTCAGCCCACGGCAAAGTCTGCCTACCGGATTCAAGCGATTCCCCTGCCTCAGCCTCCCGAGTAGCTGGGACTACAGGCGCGCACCACCACGCCTGGCTAAGTTTTTGTATTTTAGTAGAGACGGAATTTCACCACGTTGACCAGGATGTTCTCAAACTCCCGACCTCGTGATCTGCCCACTTTGGCTTCCCAAAGTGCTGGGATTACAGGCATGAGCCACTATGTCCAGCCTGTGTGTTCCTTTTTGACACGGGAAGCTTCAGGATTGATTAGCCCCCTCAACCACACCAGCACTTGGCTGACTGCCACACGTCTACACTAATCCTATGAACTGGAACTCAGAGAGGTCAAGCCACTTTCCTAAGGTCACACAACCAGAAAGTGGGGTAGCTGGGAGGGATGGGGTTCGACTCTGGCGCTCTGTTCTGAGCTGCCAAAGACGATAATAAGGCCTTCCTAGACCTCCCGGGCAGATTTTGAAGCTAAATTGAGATAATAGACCCCAAAGCCTGGTGAGAAGAAACTTACAAGTTCCATACGAATGTGGTGCATTGTTATTAACAAAAGGCTTGAATTGGGAAAAAGAGCTAAGGAGGCAGATGCAGGAGAGGGCTCACTGGGAGCTGGAGGTAATAATGGAGCTCCTGGGGGAGCGGCAGGACCAGTGCTGGGAGGTAATTAACTCATTCCCTGCCAGACAACTCGTGCCCCCCTTACGCCATGAGGACCCCACAAGAAATGAGTCACCAATGCTCAAATGCCTTTTATGTTTCAGGCATTTTACTAAGCGCTGGGTTTTTTATCATTATTAATTATTTTTAATAGTGACGTAAGCCACAAGGCCCTACTTTAGCTGGGGAGCCGAGCAGGAGACAGGTATTATGTACCTGGCACGGGCTCTGCCAGTAACATTTAAAACAGTTGCTCCCCGTGGTGGCAGATCTGGGACACAGGTAT